TGAGGATGCAATCACTTGGTATGACAAAGCATTAATTATTGATACGAAGCATGTTTTATCTTTATGTGGAAAAGGTAGATTGAATCATAATTTAATTAATAGGTCATTGCTTAAGATTATTAAATAAATATGAGGATGCAATCACTTGGTATGACAAAGCATTAATTATTGATACGAAAAATGTTGATCCTTTATGTGGAAAAGGTAGATTGCATCATAATTTAATTAATAGGTGATAGCTTAAGATAATTGAGAAAATATGATGAATCTTTAAAAATATTAGATTAAGCACTTACTATTAATCCACAACATAGATTTTCTCTTCAATCTAAAGGTATATTATAATCATAATTTATAGGTTTATGGTTAGAAGATCAATAAAATTATAAAGAAGCTTTAATTTATTACGAGAAATCATTAAAGATAGACCCTAATGATCAATGGACAATAAACAAAAAGAGTATTTTTAACATATAAGATTAGAAATTTGTGAAAATAAATTGAAGCAATGAGTATTCAATATTAAAAAATAATTATATTATTATTTCTTTATCAAATTACTTTATTAAATCTTCTCAAATTTTACCTTTTAGGCCTTATAAATTTTTGAGGATTAGATTGCTAAACGTAAATTTTTGTTTATTTAATTCCGAAATTTCCAATAATATACCCATCATTTATTAAGCAAAAAATTAAGATTTAATCTTTTCAATTATATCACATATAACATAGATGTATTTATATAAGTTATGTAGAAGAATTTTTTTGTCTAAATTAATTGTTAACTTTTTTTTATAATTGTGTTATTTTATCAATCCTTCACTAATATTAATTAGATTGTGATTTTGTTTAATTAGACAATAATTATTTGATCTAAAAACTAGAATGAATGAAGGCATAAAATCTGAAAATGAAACTATGGGTAGTTTTTAATCAAAGATAAACTATTTTTTCTTAAATAAAAGATATTTATATTTACAACTAACCCTGAGTTTGAAACATTCGTAATTGTTAGAACACAATGTAAATTATTTCTTGGAAAATAAACAAAAAATTTGAGCTGAGTATTTGTTGAAGGTTGATCATTTAGTAAATAAATGTATAAATTTAAAAAACAATTTTAATATTTTGATCCCTAAAAAGACGATTAATATTTTATATTACTTGTCTATTTTTTAATAAATTTTGATTTCAATTTAAGTTTCTTTACAAGATTGAAAAAAAAATCAAGATTTTTATGTTTGAAAGAGTATTATTTGCAAAATGTTCGACGATTGTCAGGTCTACACTTAAATCATTATGAATTAACTTTTTGCAAATTAAAATAAGTTTATTTTATTAAGTAATTCTGATTAAATTTGCAGAACTTAAATCTAGAATGGCTCTCCGAATGAGAATAAAATTGTTTTAAATTCAAACTAATTGCAATAGCATTTGAATAAGAAATAGAATTAGTTATTTTATTTATTCGTTAAGGTATAAGAATTAACATAAGCCAAATGATAGGTATACATATAATTATTACAAAAGTTAGATATTGATATAAATAAATGATTTAATTTATTAAATTAAAGTCTCATAATCCTTATTAATCTTATAAAGGACTTTAAGGGACTAATTATAATTCTTGTTCAGATAAATTAAATATATAGAAAAAAAACAACTCTTATTTCAGATTGTTTTTATGATAAATTTAGAAGTTTGTCAAAATCCAGTTCACGGTAAAATTTATGCATCTGAAGTCAAAATTGATATTTTTAAGCTTTACAAGACTATTTATCTTGTTTCTAAGTGATTTAATTATTTAGTTGAGATGAATATATGTGAACAAATATTAGAATTAAAATGCCGTTAAAAAATATGACAAATATTAGTGTATAAGAGAATTAAAGAATATTTAATTAGATTCTCAAACATGAATATAATAACAATAAATAATTCTGAAAGTAGCAAACCTAATTGGAAATATAATTGATCTTAAAATGTAGAGTATGATTATTAAAATTTTAAAGTGGGTGTGATTTACTTCTAGGTTCAGATAATTTTTCAAAAATAAAGTTTAGGAGTCAATAAATTAAGTTCTTGTAAATGATATTAATAATATTAAACTAAATTCATATAATAACATAACCTATATAGTTATTATTTTTTAGAGTTTAGAGAGACTTTAAGGAATGATAAAAGATTGGGACACTCGAATACACAAAAAGAAGATTGATATTGCAAAAAAGGTTTTAATGACTAAAAATTTGAGTTATGGTTTTTATGTATTAAAAAATCAAGTAAAATCAAGAAACCAGAAATTGTTAAAATCCTATTATCTCGAAAAGTTTAAAAAGTAGTTATTCTTGTGAGTAACAATATATATAATTTTGTTTCTGACCTTTTAGGTTGAAAATTATTAAGTGCATTTTATTTAATGTTTAGAAAATTAGATTTGATGTTGAATTGTTGGAAATAAGTTTTTAGCAGTTATAAAAAAAAATTTCTTGTTGATTATTTGAAAATAACTCAATAACACAAATGCTAATATTATAATTGCAAGAATTAAAATAAACAGAGAGGTACAAATAAAAATAGTCGATTGATAAAAAGAAAAAGATATAGGAGAAATGTAATGGCATTCATTATTTTAATAATATGATTATGCATAGGGCTTATGGAAATAAAGGTTT